TATTTCAAACACTTTTTAATATTAGCTAGCTTAAAGGGTTAAATTCAACAGATTAAAAGTAACAGATCACACCAGTGATTCTCCAACCATGGGTTGAAACTCCTTTGGCAAACATCTTCCTACAAACAAATTTGCATTACCATTGCACTGCCAAAATTACAGTAATTAAGTAGAAATGAAAATAACTTTATGGTTAGACATCACCACAACATGAAGGTTTACAACCATTGCTCTAGGAAACTTGCCCATCAATTTATATTTACTTTCTATTGTTAAACTAAAACCCTTTTAGTGTTGTATATACCGATACATTTTCCAATTTATCCAACCTAGTTGTTTTCAATTTATTTGTTGTTATGGCCTATTTACAAGTATCTAAGTCATAGACACTTGAGTTTGCGCGTGTCTATCAGTCCACACATTTAACATTTCTGAAGATAATCTCCGGGGCACAGCTTATATTTAACTGCAATATCCTCTTCATAATTTAATATAAAATGCATATCCAAGATTTGAATAACTTAAAATGTAACTAATACACCCTTTATAGCTAACTTATCTCACATTAATGTCACAGCCCTATTTTCCCTTTAAGGATGTGGTCAGAGTCTCCTGTTTATAATCTTTATGTGTTTTGAATTTCAGGATGTGATATTTAGTAATTATCTTCATTGTTTTTTAACATTCAAGATCTAGATGTGAGCACATCTGACACAGAGTGGAAGTTTTGGGATAGAACTTGTGGTTAGATAGGTGATCATGAGAGGCGAGAAAGAAATGCTGAAAGTTAATTAGTTCTTCAGACCTCTGGTCTTAGTGATATTAAGGGTTCTACATTCTGATGAATATTATCTTCTATGCTTTCTATTTTTTTAAATTTAAATTAGAAACAGTCTTACTTTATATAGCTGCCCCAGTTCTGTGTCCCTCCCATCTGACCATACCTGATATCGACCCCTATCCATCCCTCTTCTGCTCGATAGAAAAGCCGAGGCCTTCCATTGGGAATCATCAAAGTCCATCACATCATTGGGGTGGTACCTAGGCCAGTGTGTCTAGGGTGACAGAGTTTCCCTCTATGGGGAATAGGCTCCCAATATCCATTCCTACACTAGAGATAAATACTGTTCCATGGCTAAAGGCCCCATACACTGCCCACCTCTCCTAACTGACTCCCACATTTGGTAAACCTAGTTCTGTCCTAAGCTGGTTCTGAACTGTCAGTCTGAAGTCCTTGTTCAGGTCACCTATTTCTGTGAGTTTCCCCAGCCTGGTCATGAATACATTGCTCATCACACCTCACTCTCTACAACTGGATTCCTGGCATTTTGCTCAGTACTTAGCTGTGGGTGTCTGCTTTTTGCTTCCATCAGCTACTGGATGAAGGCTCTAGGATGGCATATAAGGTAGTCATCAATCTCGTTATAAGGGAAGGACATTTAGGATAGCTTCTTCACTATTGCTTAGAATCTTAGTTGGGTTCATTCTTGTATATATCTCTGGACATTTCCCTAATGCCAGAAAACAGCAGAACATGCCACACAGAAGGAACTTAACAAGGTTCATAGGTGCTCAGAGAAAGTAAAGTGGCTATCATGGAGCCTGCACGGCACTATCTCAGGAACTCTGCAAACATACTATGGTTGTTTGGCTTGGTTTGTTTGTGGGATTCCTATCAGTAGTTCTTGTGGTGTCTCTGACTCTTTTGCCTGCTCTTGGGACACTTCCTTCTATTGAGTTACCTTGGTCAGCCTTTTATGGGGGTTTGTGTATAGTCTTATTGCACCTTGTCAAGGTATATTTGGTTGATATACAGGGAACCCGGCCAGTTTCCCACCCAGATACAAGGAGAATCCAACACATTGTCTGCCATTGCTCACCATCTGCTTCTTCCCTTCTGCAGACAGCATAACCTAGCTCACCATGTTGTGGTTTCCCAGACCACAGAAGCTCTCATCTCTGCTCCCTGCAGCAGTAACTGAACCACAGAACACAAAATCACTGGCTCCTCTTCAAAGCCAAGATTGAAGTATGGTGATTAGAACAGCCCCGCACCACTGCTGACTGGCAGGTCACATGAAGGGATAGTGAGGCTTGATTGGATAGTGAGGCTTGAGTGACAGGAGCACCTACCATATGCAGAGAGTGTGCTTGAAGACACAGTATTGTGGTTCCTGGCTGTGCCTCCCACAAAAGAAAAAAAAACCTTTTCTAGATCAACAAAGATATGCATTTCAATAACACTGGCCCCTGGCTTGGATTGCAAACCCCGATATCTTCCTCTCCTCCATAGGGACTTCCCTTTATCCTCCTGAATATAATTGAAAACTTTCTTTCTGAGGATGCAGCAATCTAAATCAGACCAAATCAAACTGATTTTGAAAAAGCTCATGTTTAATGGACATAGTCCTCCTGGATGCCTTCCATTCCCCAGAGGAGAGATGGGAAAGGGAGACCTGAAAAACCATGAGTCTAGTCACTGAGGGACTGTTTAAGTACCTGTGGCAGTGTTCATGAATATCTCTGGAGGAAAGGTCATTACTTGTCATAATTTTGCTTTCTGAGTTTCTGCAGGTTTTGGAGGAAGATTGGGGACAAGGCTTTGGTAGAAACTTCACCATAACGTTCTAGACTCTTTGAGTATTTGGAAGCCAGTGCCTAAAATGTAGCTTTTACCACAACAATAATATAACTATCTAGTTTGTACAGACCACCATACTAGGTGGGTGGAGTCATTCCTTGTCTCATAGGTGGAAAAGTACCCGGACAGAATATTAAAAATTAGAGAGATTTAAGGACACAAAGGGAAATGTTTGTTCTGTGGTTTCATACTAAAATCATATGAACTGAAGGTACTTTCTTTCTGGTTGTCACAGGGACTTCAGACAAATAGGAAAGTAAAGAAGGAACCAGATCTCAAATTAAAAAAAAAAAAAAATAGGTCTTCCTCCCTTCACAAGCCTGGAAGATGGCTCCATTGCTTTCAGTTTATTCCAGAAATTCAGATCAAACTCTAGGCAAATGAATAATAAGAGAAAGAGTAGTATTCAAGGAAATTTGAATACTTAGAGGTTAATGAGCTAGGAAGACTGTGCTAATGAGCTCTATTGTTAGACCCCACATCTTCCTCCATGGGCCAGTGAGAAAAAAATGCAGCTGCATCATTTAAGTTTCTTTACAGGAAAGGTATTGTAGAGTGCATCTCTCCAGGTATCTATAAAGTAGATTTATTAGAATGTCTCACAAGCTGTGGTCCAGGTAGCCCAACCATGGTCTCCTACCAATGGAAGTTTGAAGGATCCAGTAGATCATTTCACAGCCTTTAGGCTAAATCAAATTAATCAAATTAAGAATCCACTAATTGTTCAGTCCATGAGGCTGGACATGCCAGCTTGTGTCTTTATACACAAAAATTCCAAAGAAGTGGGATCTGAGTGGGGAAAGGAATGAATTTGGTAGTGAGAACTACAAAAAGCAGGCAAAAAGCAACAGCTTCCTTCTTCAGGATTGTTTCCTTCTACTTTGCCTCCTTTCAGAAAGTGAGATCCAGGTTGTAAGTGGATCACATTCTATGTTTGATGGTTTATTTTTGTTGATGCTGTTGTTGTTTTTTTGTGTGTTTTCAAGAAATACTTTATGTGAGTAGCCCTGGAAATCATTCTGTAATCCAGGCTAGTCTGAAACTCAGAAAGTCCCATGGCGTCTTCCTCCTGGTTTTAAAAGTATGCACTGCTACCAAACACCTAAAGGAGGATCTTATCCCTCAAATGATATAAATTATTGAAGGGTTTTCCCATTCAAAAAATTTCAGTTAAGTGAATCCCTCTCAGGTATACCAATTCTTTGTGAGTTAGGTAATTCCAGAATAGCCATCTCAACCACCAACACAGAAGACATGAGACAATTGTCTTGCCTGAATAAAAAACAATAAATAAACAAATAAACAAAAACAACAAAAACAAGTGAATCAAAGATCCCAACATAAATCCAGCCACAGTGAACCTCTTAGAAGAGAGAGTAGGGGGTACCTTGTAGAATTTTTGTAGTAGACCGATTGCTGAACATAACAACATTAGTGCTAACATTGAGATCCCCAATTAATAAATGTGACCTCATGAAACTGAGAAGTTTCAGCCGGGCGTTGGAGGCGCACTCCTTTAATCCCAGCACTCGGGAGGCAGAGGCAGGCGAATCTCTGTGAGTTTGAGGCCAGCCTGGTCTCCAGAGTGAGTGCCAGGATAGGCTCCAAAGCTACACAGAGAGACCCTGTCTTGAAGAAAAAAAAAAAAAAAGAAGAAGAAGCTGAGAAGTTTCTATAAGGCAAAGGACATAGTCAAGAAGACAAAAAGGCAGCCCCCAGAATGGGAAAATATATTCCTCAACCCCACATTTGACAGAGAGCTGATTTCCAAAATATACAAAGAACTCAAGAAGCTCATCATCAAAACCACAAAAAAATCCTTAAATATCCTTCTCTGTTACTGAGATTGATGACTACCTTATTTGCCATCCTAGAGTCTTCATCCAGTAGCTGATGTAAGCACAAGAAGACACCCACAGCTAAACACTGAACCAAACTCCTGGAATCTAGTTTCAGATAGGGAGGAGTGATGAGCAAATGGGTCAAGACCAGGCTGGAGAAATCCACAGAAACAGCTGACCTGAACAAGGGGTTGCTCATGGACCCCAGACTGATAGCTGGGAAACCAGCATAGGACTGTTTGAAGCCCCCTGAACATGGGTGTGAGTTAGGAGGCCTTGGCAATCTATGGGGCCTCTGTAGTGAATTACTATTTATCCCTAGTATACAAATGGACTTTCACAGCCCATTCCACATG